TTTCCTCAAATCTTTATCGTTAACCCCGAACCTAATTATAATAACAATTTATTAATATTAACTAATAATATAATTTAAAATAAATATTGAAATAATTTAATTTATAAATTACCATAACGCCCCGTCAAGTTCGGGATCGATTAGCGGGACCTCGCGAGTTTCGAAGGAATTTAACGCCCAGAGTTATATCAATCTCTGGGAAAAGTGGAGGAGCGTCCACCGGTTCCGGAAGACGAGAAGGTGGCGGTGGCGGCGGTGGCGGTGCTCCAGAAGAACCCGCTAACAATCCTCCGGGATCAGAAAATCGCCTACGAAACTGTAAAAAAACAATAGTTAGTTATTAATACAAAATAAAATATAAATAAATATTAAAGAATTGAAAACATATTACCATTTTGCATTTTTTTTTGTCGAGTGTTTTTTTTTGCTCAGTTTTTTTTTGTTGATTTGAGAAATGGGTGATGAGGAAGAATGGGGCGCTCGCCCTTATATAATCGAAAATTCCAACGGATTTCCAACGGGCATCCGTTGGAATTTTCTGGGCGCATTTAATGTTGTCTGATAAATTCCAACGAATGCCCGTTACAATCTTCATTTCCAACGGGCATCCGTTGGAAATATTCTGGAATGACGCGATGGACGCTAGGTGCGTCGAACGGATTTAATGTTTCAGAATTTCCAACGGATGCCCGTTGGAAATGAAGAATGTAACGGGCATCCGTTGGAATTTATCAGCAGATTCAATGTTTCAACTATTACAACGGGTGTCCACGGATATCCGTTGTAATTCTGGTGTCGATTCGATTGGTGCGCTTCGATTCCAACGGACGTCCGTTGGAATATATGTGATCATTCGAATTCTGCGATTCGATTCCAACGGATGCCCGTTGGAATTTAACAATTTTTTTTTAAAAAATACAAATAAATATGATAGATTTTTCAAAATACAAATACATATGAAAACAATAAAAACAAATAAGTCTACATAGAATCTTCATCACTTTCATCATCCGGAGTTGTATCATGGTCCGAAACGAATTCGTCTATATCGTCTTGTACGTGTAACGAATCATCAAGTAACTCGTCGTCTATGTCACGAAGTGCAAGTGTCTCGTCGTAATCATCATCTAGTCGGATGGGAAGAACCGGATCTTCGAGTTGCTCTTGCATTGGCTCATCGAGATCTTGTGTTGTCGACGACGAATCTACGATAATTAATCTTCGTGGGTTAATCTTCAAAACAGCCGACCATTGATCTTCCCGTCGCCGTTTCACCGATGTCGCAGAATGTTTCGGATATGGAATGAAGCATACCTGGTCTGCCTGATCTGAAAGTATAAAAGGATCGTACTTTGCATATGAACGTTTCGGGTTTATGTCAATACCTCCCCATCGATTTTTCCGTGAGTCGCGTCCCGATGTTGTATCAAACCAATCACATCTGAATATGATTGTTTTCAACCCGACTAATCCTCGATACTGGAGTTGGAAAATCTGGCGAAGAACCCCAAAGAAATCAGGATCTTCCGATGATCCGCTTTTTATACAAACTCCGTAATTGAACGTGGATTTATGTTTTCCATGATCGTAAGTGTGAAACGTGTATCCTCGGGTGAACATTATCGGCCAGCAAATGACTTTTCTTCCAGGTCCATGTGATATATCTCTGATCCATGCCGAAATTCTATCACTGCATGACCGAATCTGCGCATAAAAAT